TTTATAATGATGACTTTAAATGTTTAACAATGAAGTAAATTCTAAATCTAAGCAACAGAGGAGAGGCTACCTTAAATGACCTCACCTGATAATGAGATTGATGACTGACTTATATGCCCCCCGATAGCCCTTATCCAGCAACTGGTGGAAGTAGTAGACACCCACAACTAATCACTGAACTGAACTGGAACCCAGTTGCAGAAAAGGATGAGTGAAGAAGCAACGGGGTTCAGACCAGGCTGGTGAAACCCACAGAAACAGCTGACCTGAACATTGGGGAGCTCTTGCTCTCCAGACTGATAGCTGGGATACCAGCATGAGACTAATCCAGACCCCCAGGAACATGGGTTTCAGTGAGGAAACCTTGGAAATCTACAGGACCTCCTGTAGGAGTTCAGTACTTATTCCTAGCATAGGTGTGGACTCTGGGAGCCCATTCCACATACAGGAATACTCCCTGAGCCAAGACACACAGGGGTGGGCCTAGGCCCTATCCCAAAGGATAGGCTAGACTCTGAAGACACCCTATGGAAGGCCTCACCATCTGGGGGAAGCAGAAAGGATATGTGATAGGGTTTTAGTTGAGGGGGAGTAATAGGGGAGGAGGGGAGGGAGAGGGAACTGGGGTTGACATGTAAAACAATCTTGTTTCTAATTCAAATTAAAAAAAACTCTTCAGAAAAAAAAGTACAATGCTAAACTGTGGTCTCTCACCACTAGATTAGCAAAACTATCCACATACTTGTTGATCGATTCTGTGAGATGATGGGGATGGGCACTTTCATGCATGAGGATAAGAATGAAGCATTCTGCCAGGGAGATGGGGACACCTAACAAAGCAATAAGTGGATATCCTTCAAGCCAAAGAGCCTGCTTCTAAGAGTTCAGAAGATAAACCCCCAAGAATGCAAAAACAGAAAATGCAAAAAAGTGTGTGTGTGTCATTTATTACCATGTCATCTCCAACGGCAGAATATGGCAAAGCAACTTAATGTCTAAGTATAAGAAACTGAGTGACTACACTATAAGACATAAAAACTAAATGAAGTAAAAATCAGTTTCAAGAAAAGACTGAAAATGCCAAAGTAGGAATGTCTATGCAGCTGTTTCCAGTAACAAAAATGCAAAAACGTAAGGTGTGAAAGAACAACTCGTGTGCCGTTACCTCCAGTCCCATGGGTGTGGTGAAGACTTGGAAAAGTCCTGAGTATGTCAGCAGTGGATGAACGAGCAATGACAAAGAACACAAGGTAATGCCAAACAAGCCAGTGAATGTGCTGCTGGGGTGCAGATAAGCACACAATGGAGGGATGACGCGCATGAGGATGGGCGGGAGATGCCAGGGGTGCAGAGCTTACTGTACGAGCAAGGAGATGGAGCACACAAGAACCCCAAAGCTCCAAGTGCCTGGTCCAGCTAGTTCTGTCTCATGCCACAAACAAAAGAGACCCCAGTTCAGTTTGCAGAACCCACATCTGGCAGCTCTCAACTACCTGTAACCCCAGCTTCAGGGAATCCAAGGCCTCTGACCCCCAAGTGCACTGTACTCACATGTACATGCACATATACTCAAATGTACACGCACACATACATGTACACACACAGAGACACAGACACAGACACACACTAAAAATCTTTAAAAGTAGTACCACAAACAAGTGACCAAGTGTCAACACCTAAACTTGCAGGGCCATTTAGCACTCAAATGCAAAAGAAGTGGAAAAAAAAAAGGGGGAAAGAGAGAGTTATCACTTAAACATTATCAGCCTAATAACACAAGGAAAAGGACATCTTGGCCATGTAACAATGTCTTATCTGAGGGAACATCCTCTCTCCAGGCTCTCAGCTTGGAGATGAAACAGTGTGTTTTATTCTTCAGTGTTCTAGTCCTTGCTCATCCAGTATCCCCTCGACTACCAAATTCTCTCAGGAGCTGCCACACAAAAAAAATTTATATTCATGAAGTCAAACTTACAAATCTTGACTGTATGGCAGCCATGTGAACAAAACAAAAAAGACCCTGCGTCCTATTCAAAAACTCCTGCTGGCTCTCCCCCATAGGCTACCACAGTGGGCACACAGCTTTGCCCTGGTGTCTGACAACAGGGTTCTAGGTGACCAACCTCAGCCATTCTACCTCTCTCCAGTCCCAGTCCCTTTACAAACTGACTCCTTTTAAAGTCTGCCAGTGTTCCCACAAATTGGAAATGTGAGCAAGGACTCCCAGCTCAAAGGCTTCTTTGGTTTTCTACCTGCAGAGCCTCCGAGATCAGCTCTTTTCTCATCTCCTCCTTCCCTGGCTCAGACACAGACTTACCTATGCGTCCATCAAATTCCATCTCCACAGTCTAGGGATGTTCTGTGCTTCCTGTCTTGGTGTTCCTGTTCATGCAAAGTGCCAGCTCCCTTGGCCCTTCCTGCTCAAATACCACACACCCAGTTTCTGTGTAATGCTTCTTATCCTCCATGCCCCAGTGCTCTGCCTGGCTTTCTCAAATGATTTTCCTTCTTATTTAGAACTGGCAACAGAAAGAGCACCCATCAACAGAAAAACTGCTTGCTAACCACCGAGATTCTTACTGTGAAACACACATGAGCAGTAACAGGTGAGGTGTGTTCTTACTGTGAAACACATATGAGCAGTAACAAATGAGAGCGTGTTCTTATACGTGAGCAGTAACAAGTGAGGCAGGCATGTTCTTACTTACTGTGAAACACACATGGGCAGTAACAGGTGAGGCAGGCATGTTCTTACTGTGAAACACACATGAGCAGTAACAAGTAAGGCAGGAATGTTCTTACTGTGAAACACACATGGGCAGTAACAGGTGAGGCATGTTCTTACTGTGAAACACACATGAGCAGTAACAGGTGAGGCATGTTCTTACTGTGAAACATACATGAGCAGTAACAGGTGAGGCATGTTCTTACTGTGAAACACATGACAGCCATAACAAGTGAGGTATTACCAAGACATTCATGAGGTGAACTTCAATAAACAGTTCCAAGCAGATGATGGGAACTTCATATAACAGAGTGAAAACTTCACATTGCCATTTATTATGAAATTGCAGAAGAGACAAAATTGACAATATATGGAGAAAAAATTCCAGAGGGATGATGGGGTGGGAGGGTGTAGGTTTGGTGGGACTTGGGGCCAGCCTGAGCTATGCAGCGAGTTCAACAGCCTCGGAAACACACAGAAACCAACCAAGACAAGGCTGTCCACTTTCTCCATACCTATACAATATGGTACTTGAAGTCTTAGCTAGAGCAATGAGACAAGTGAAAGAGATCAAGAGGATCCTGGAAAGGAAGGAGTCAAAGTACCCTAATTTGTAGATGATATAATAGTATGCATAACTGAGCTTAAAAACTCCATCAGGAAACTCCTACAGGTGATAAATACTTTCAGCAAAGTAGCTAGATTAAAAAATTAACTCATAAAATCAGTAAAGAAATCAGGGAAACGGTACCTTTCACAATAGCCTCAAAAAATACGAAATATCTTGGGGTAACTCTAACCAAGCAAGTGAAAGAACTTGTATGATAAAAACTTTAAGTGACTGAAGAAAGAAATTGAAGAACTGAAGAAGATGGAAAGATCTCCCACATTCATGGAATGGTAATATTAATACAGTAAAAATGGCCATCCTACCAAAAGCAATCTACAGATACAGTCCTAAATGGCAAAAGAGCTGCTGGAGGGAGCTATCACCATCCCCAATCTCAAACTATACCACAGAGCTACAGTAATAAAAACAGCATGGCATTGGCACAAAAAACACATGTTGATCAATGGAATCAAATTGAAGACCCAGACATAAATCCATATACCTGTTAACACCTGATTTTTTTTATAAAGAGGCCAGAAATACACAATAAGAAAAAGGTAGCATCTTCAACAAGTGGTCAAACTGGATGGCTGCATGTAGAAGAATCTAAATAGATCTCCATTTATCACTCTGTACAAAACTCCAGTCCAAGTGGATCAAAGACTTTAACATAAAACCAGATACACTGAACCTGACAGAAGAGAAAGTGGGGAGTAGCCTTAAACTCACTGGCACAGGAGACAATTTCCTGAACAGAACACCAGTTGTGCAAGCACTAAGATCAACAATTAATGAATGGGACTTCATGAAACTGAAAAGCTTCTGTAAGGCAAAGGATACCGTCAATAGGGCAGAAAGGAAGCCTATGGAATGGGAAAGTATTTTCATCAACTCCACATCTGACAGAGGGCTAATATCCAAAATACATAAAGAACTCAATAAACGAGATATGAACAAACCAAATAATCCAATTTTTACAATGGGGTAACAGAGGCATCTCAAATGGCCAAGAAACACTTAAAGAAATGTTAAACACCCTTAGTCATCAGACAAATGCAAATCAAAACAACTCTGAGACTCTTACACCTGTCAGAATGGCAACGATAACTAACACAGGTAACAGATCATGGTGGCAAGGATGCAGACCAAGGGGAACACTCCTCCTTTGCTGGTGGGAGTGCAAACTTGTACAGTCACTATGAAAATCAGTGTGGTGGTTCCTCATGGAGATGAAAACTGATCTATCTCAAGACCAGTATATCAATTTTGGGCATATACCCAAAGGACACTCCATCCTACCATAACGACATGTGCTCCACCATGTTCATTGCTGCTCTATTCATAATAGCCAGAAATTGGAAACAACTTAGATATTCCTCAACAGAATAGTGGATAATGAAAATGTGGTGCATTTCTCCAATGGAGTTAAAAAAAATGATATCATGAAATTTTCATGATAAAACTAGAAAAAATCATCCTGAGTGAGGTATCTCAGACAAATAGGATATGTATTTGCTATATGTGGATAAATAGTTATGAGGGTGAGTATGGAGTAAGGGATTAGAGCAGCAGTTTTCAACCAGAGGATTGCAACCCCCAGCAGGGATTGTATATTGGACATCCTGCATATCAGATATTTATATCAAAACTCATATACTAGCAAAATTACAGTTACGAAGTAGCAACAAAATAATTTTATGGTTGGGGATCACAACACGAGGAACTATATTAAAGGGTTGCAGCAACAGACAGCTCTCGTTAGGAAAGAAAAATAGGATAGACACAGATGGAAGGAAGGAATAGCTGGAATGGGAGGATCAATTTGAGAGGAGAGGGAAGAGGGGGATAAAGGAGGGAATATGGGGAGAGACAGCTAAAATTAATGGCCACTTGATGGGTAGTATGGAAACATAATACAGGGAAAGCTTCTTAAAATACATATATAAACAAAGGTGGTCTAAATAAAATCACCAAATAATGCGGTGGACAGAACCCTAACTGGACACCTCTTGTCACCAAAATGAAGCTTCCAGTACAAAGAATGAGTTACATCTAATTGAGTTGTTGGCCAGAGTGTCTCATGGGAACCCCAAAACAACCCAGATGTTGCCAAGAAAATAAATAGGTTGCTTTCCACAAACGGACTGAAAGGCCCCTCTTCTGAAGGCAACACCCACACAACTCATTGAACATGGAGAAGTCAAACTGGTGCCTACAGAGAGCTTCACCCCTTTGCTCTAGTGTCTTGGTACAGGAAGGGACTCTGCACATTACCAACCAGCCACAAACCCTTTGATCTGCAATGGTGGCCAGCCTGCAGGATGTGCTAGTGTAATGGTGTAACAAAGCTTGTGAGAGCAACCAACCAATACCTGATTTGACTAAAGACCCACTCCACAAAATGGAACCCATATATGACGCTGCTTGAGTGACTAAGAACCTGAAACTAGATAGACCAAGTAATACTGTTCTACTAAAAGAAGGTAGCAATAAAATGACTCCTAATGACATTCTGCTGTACTCATAGACGCCTTGCTCAGCCATCATCAAAGAAGCTTCCTCCTGCAGGAGATAAGAACAAATACAGAGACCCACAGCCAGACATATGCAGAGAATGAGAGACCTTGGGACCCTCAGCCCTAAATGGGATGTCTCCATCAAATCCCTCACCTCGGGGCTCAGGGAACCTTGTAGAAGAAGAGGCAGAAAGATTGTAAGAACCAGAAAGGATGGAAAACACTAAGAAAACAAGGCCTTCTAAACACAACAGGACCAACACATGTATAAACTCACAGAGACTGAGGCATCAAGCACAGGGCCTACGGTGGTCTGCACCAGATAGGATCCTAGAGCTGAGAGGAGAGGTGGACTTGTGCTCCTATCCCTAATCCAGAAGCAACCTCTAATTGATAACCACTTGCAAATGAAAATTCAGTTTCCTCCAAGGGAGTCTCACTAGGGAAACAAACTACTCCTGAGGGTAGGCTGTATGCCCAGCAGTGATAGCCAACAGAAAACAACAAATGGTATCTTTGGGGGTTCTTTTTCTCATAATGTCATGTCAGCCCCCACTCCAATTTTATTTTATTTTAAAATTTGATTTATATGATCTATTTTCCTCTTTTTACACTGTGAGTCCCTTTCATATATATTATGGCTTCCAGTTTAGTGTTTTTGTGGGATGTCTGTATGTAAATGAATGGGTCTGTGTCTATAACCATTTTTTGAGCCGTTTCTTGGGCAAAACTAACAAACACAATGAACATATGAGTTCTTTATATTTAGAAATAAAGACAATTTATCATACATAGACTTAGCAAATATTTTTGCTAGATTATAGCAAAATTTTTTTATAATTTCTATGTGTGTTTGTGTGTACATGCACACATATGTATGAATATATATGGAGGTCAATGGTCAACTAAAAATGTCCTTCCTTAGACACAGTCCATCCTTTCTTACTCGCTGATTTAGAGACAGGGTCTCACTATGTGGCTCTGGCTGGCCTGACTCTGTAAACTAGGCTGGCATTGAACTCACAATGATGTGAGTACTGGGATTAAGGGATAGCCATCATGCCGAGCCCTCAATTATTTTTTAGCAGAAGTGTGCTGAATCTATGGAAGCAAAATCCAGAGATAAGGGAGATAAGGTATATCATCCTTTGAAGAAAAATATTATTTAATGCAAACTCAGTTTATTAGTATTTTTCTTGGATGGAACATGTTCTGGTATTCAAGAAATCTTTACCCCACAGGGCTGAAGAGATGACTCAGCAAGTAAGAACACTGGCTGCTGGACTAGTGACATCATGCATCTTAGAGGAGAACCTACAATCGCTACTTAACTAAACCAGCATAATTCCTAACTATAGTTTAAACATTTGTCCCTATCCCCACAGGTAAGTGCAGTCCTCACCCCTCATCAAGGAAATTTCTCATTACAATAGACAGAAAACCACAACCAATCAAAATAGAGAGTTGTGGATCTCAGTCCTAATGGATACATGTAGTCAGCTTTCTTGTCAGACTATCTTGGACCACCTGCAAATAATGACACGGAGACTTATTAATTATGAAAGCTTGGCCCTAGCTTAGGCTTTTTCCCATCTCACTGGCGCTGGCATCTCCTTGCCTCTCTTCTTTCCAGAGTTCCCCTCTCTCCCTGGAAATCCTGCCCATTCACTTCTGTCTAGCTATTGGCCATTCAGCTCTTTATTAAACCACTCACAGTGACACATCTTCACGCAGTGTAAACAAATATTCTGCAACAGATACACCTAAAAACTCTCCTGCCCCTAAGGCTCAGGGTACATTGGGGAAGAGGGGATGGAAAGATTGTAAGACCGAGGCAATCAGGGAGTTTGCTGTGAGGTTGTGATGCCAGAAGCAACACCCAGAAAATCTCAACACAACTGTGTAAACATGAGCTGAATGAACAAGGTAGACACCAATAGACACACCAAA